GCTCTGAGCCCACGGGTGCCCTACCCCATGAGGCAGCTCTCGCCTACCCCCAGTGCTGTAATTGTGGGTGCCTCGTTTAGAGCGTCCCACTCCCTTGCTGCCCCTTTAACTACCGTGTCAGGTCATGAGTCACTGTGCCCCGGAGGCTCTGCCACTCAGGCCCTAGATTTTTGTCCCCGCTCCCTGCCCTGACCCTGCTCCCGTCCTAAATCTGTGTCCTGTCCCCGTCACCGACCCTGTTCCAGCCCTTGTTCCTGTCCTTAACCTGTTTTCCGTCCCCCCTCCTGTTGCTGCCGCCCCGGGGTTGCCTCATTTTCTTTTTATGGAGGCCCCCGGGAGGCAGTTTCTGTTTTTCCCTCTTCTGGCCCATCAGAAGCTGCAGTTCTCCCTTCGCCATCGTCCCTAGGGCCGAGTGTTATGTGGGGTGGCACAGTGCCGGATGGACAGGCGCCGTGGTGGGGCTCTGATCCCTGCCTGCCCGCCGTGCTGGGCCATGGGGCTGGCAGGGGGGTCCAATTGGGGGACACCACGGGTTCCGTGACCCCAGTCCCTGCCACACAGAGGAGCGAGATGCCCTCTTTCTTGGAAGACACTCATGGCTCCACAAATAGAGTGCATCTCGCTCTTCAGCACTGGGGCAATTTCCATCTTATTCTTCAGACCGTGAGGGCCATTATGGGGGAGGGCAAAGGGACCGGGGAGCGGGATGCTGCAGCTTACCAGCGTGCCCGCAGCTTCCGTGATGCCCTGCTGGCTTTTGGGGTTGGTCACAGTTTGCTGCGGGGTCCGACAGGTGCCGCTAGTGCCCCAGACCGCGAGGATCATCCCTAGCCCTCCTTATGTTGCCGTCCGTCTTTGCCACTTTGAACATCCACGGCTGTAGGTTGGGTCTCCGCAGGTGCCAGGTGCTCTCCTTCCTTTGGGAGGGGGGGTACTCGGTTATTTTCCTGCAGGAGACCCACACGGATCCAGCCGCCGAAGTGAGCTGGCGGCTGGAGCGGGAGGACAGGGTCTACTTTAGCCACCTTTCAGCCCATCAGGGCAGGGTGGCGACCCTGTTCTATGCCCTGGAACACTCTCCTGTAGCAACACAACCTTTACACGTTATTTGACCATCCAATCAACAGTAAGCATTGTCTTACATATCCCATGGAATACGCATAGGCAGGCTTCAGTTTACATAACCTTTTTTGTCCATGCTAATTTCATGTCATCATGTCCCTTTTCCAATTGTTTTATTTACTTTGATCCTACCACTCAATATAGGGACTTTTCTGTTTTTTTCCCACTACAGGGACTTTTTGTCACTACATTTTATGTATTTTATTGTACTGATTAACCTCCTTTTATCTATGTCCTTCAACACAGTATAGAACATCATCTTTGTCTTACACAGCAGCTATAAGCATTATTTAAAGAAGTCTCTACATAAGGATGCATTTTGCAAGCAACACTCATATCAAGCAAAGCCTAGGCTAAAGCCAGTTAATTTAGCTTAAATATTACACTGGTCTACAATTTTTGAGAAGTCATCTGCTTCAGAGATAAAATGTGCTATTTATTATGCATTTTGATGTGCTGAATTCAAATCTGACAATTAAAACAACTGATTAGGCTACTGTTTCTAAGACATTTAAGTTTTTACATTTTATGTATATTGTGCAGATAGTAGAGTTTTAATCATAAATTGTAAAACTAGATCTTTTACATGATAATATTTCCCCTGTCCTGTTTATGTAATTTAAAAATCAGCAAAAGGGTTATATAAATAAAATTTATTATGAAACAAAAGGCAAAAAACTATTATGTACATAGTTTATTCCTATTCAGTGTCTACTCGGCGCTTCTTGGCTTGTCTCTTGTATTCATTAAATGGAGCATCTCTTGTCACTGTCCAGCAATAGTCTGCAAGCATTGATGGGCCCCATTTGCCCTGATAGCCTTTCTCCATTGTTGCAATGTCCTGGTGAAATCGCTCTCCGTGCTCGTCGCTCACTGCTCCGCAGTTCGGTGGAAAAAAATCTAGATAAGAGAGCAAAAAATCTTTCTTTAGTGACATGTTGCAACCAAGGCTTTTGTATGCCTTGAGGAGGTTTTCCACCAACAACCTGTAGTTGTCTGCCTTGTTGTTTCTGAGAATTTATTGCCACTAACTGGAAGGCTTCCCATGCTGTCTTTTCCTTGCCACACAGTGCATGGTCAAATGCATCATCTCGAAGAAGTTCAC